ATATGTAAACACATTATTGCTTATTTACATGTACACGTTCAATTAGCGTGCAATTTCGAGCAGTTTCGTGTTAATAATAATCACATCAAACGTTTCGCTAGCTGCTACATAACATGCTACAACAACAATAACAAGTCACAAGTGATGAAAATATAATTTCTATACAAATTGCGCAAATCGAACGGAATCGAAGCTGTTAATAACGCCTGCACACGCCATCGGCATACAAATGTATCAATTAGGGATCGATGGTTCAATTATTATTTCCATATTTTCGTGTGTTTGCCTGTGCCTGTTTGTGTTTTTTGTTCAATTTCAATCGACAATTTTTTCCGCTTTTGTTAATATGTAAAGCTCTTACTAACGGCTTGAGTGCGCGACTTGAATGGAATTCGGCATTATTTCAATTATTTTTGAACAAGAGTGTGGTTGGGACTAATAGTAAGGTGACGCTTAAAGAGATACGCATTGCATTGTATAAATAAAGCATTTACTTCGGTTGCACTAAAGCTATAATACCCTTCACAAGTGTATTTCTTATTGTATAAAAGGGTATAAAAAGATTTTTATCTTGATTTTCGTCGGCCAGCTATGCTATAGTGGTCCGATCGAAATAATTTCTTTAGAGATTGCACCCTTGCCCTAAACGATATTTCGAGCTAAATTTCGTGAAAATTTCTCTTCAAATAAAAAAGTTTTTACATAGTTATTATTTGATAGTTAGTTTATATGGCATATATGCTATAGTGAACCGATTGGAACAATCTATTCGGAGATTGTACTGTTGTCTTGGAAAATAATGCTATGCTAAATTTGATGAAATTATCTCATCAAATAAAAAACTTTTTCACACAATTATGGTTAAAGCACATACTCGTAAGTGTCAACGCCTGTAGCTATATTCATATCATATGATATCAAAATCAGTCTCTATCTAGATTTGTGAAAGTTTCAGACATGCGCTGATATCTAAAAATTCTTCTCGCTGCAGGAACTTTTGCTATCTTTAGGACTCGGACGTTGTTCTGGTGTGACGTCAGGATCCTGAATGAAGCATAAAACTAAACCAAAAACAATTCGAAGGCAACATAACCGAGTTATGTTGTTCAGTTCCCACGACAGACGAATCTACGAAGCATGATTTATATCCGTAAAAGGACTATCAACTCGGCAGCATTCCTAAAGTTATGTCGGAATATTTTTTGCCGCTCAAACAACAACAACAACAACATAAATATTCTGATTTGTTGAGATTTCTGAGAATATTTTACAATGTACTAAGCAAACCGTCAACAAATTTTTGTTAAAAATTTAAATAGAAGTTAAAATTTAATAAAAGGTAATTAACTTCGATTTATCAAGTATGTTTTATATTAAATAACATAATTTTGTATATAATTTTTTTGTACTGCTTTAAAATTTACTATTTAATGATATTATTAAGCTTTATAAAAAAATTATTTAATTTCAAATTTTTTCATGCAACATTTAATTTCTTAAGACTGTATTTAGTTCCATTTGTTATTTGTATAGAAGCGTTAAATGGTTGGGCGTGCAAATTATTTGGCATTTTCACACAAATTATGAATTAATTTAACCGTAAGGCCGGCGACGATGTGCAGCTAATTGCAATTTGACAGCGTTTGTGTAGATATATGTATGTATGTATACTTATCATATATGCGGCCGGAATATATTATCGTATGTATGTAAGTATATTATTTTGAATTAAATGAATTTATGCATATTTTACTTATATATGTATATTTATACTTAAATGTATATATGTATAAATATGAATGCTATACGGCTATAAGCAAAAAAGAAAGTCTTAAATACTTCTAAATGCATACATGACGCATATGTATACGTATATACAAATATGCCATTTATAAATATATGCAGGCACATGTTGTAAATATGCACTTCCGTTCGATTCGTATGAGCACAAAATACCAAAAACAAAATGAAACAATTGCTTGTCTCTCGAAATAATATAAGGCATATAGGTGTCAAATATATTTCAAAACTATTTTATAAGAATTACACTTGTGACACATATTCTGTATCTTCATGACAAATTATTTATACAAATTTGCATAGTTGTCAAAATATTATTATTCAATGCTCAAATATATGTACATATTGTTACTTAAATGCAAAACAACCTATCATCAAAATTTTCGATTTTCTTTATTGCAATTTGCTGCATCATTATACCGTGAACAGGATATATTAAGTTTGTCACGAAGTTGTAACAGCCAGAAGCCAACGTCGGAGACCCTATAAAATACCATATACATAAATCATCAGATTGACGCGCTGAGTCAGATTTCACTATGTCCTCTGGCTTTCGTATATACTCGAACTAGTTCCACAGTTTTTGAGATATCGATTTCAATTACACACGTCTTTTCTCTTGCTAGAAGCTGCTCATTTGTTGGAATCGTCGGAATCGGACCACTATAGCATATAGCTGCCATACAAACTGCTCATTAAAATCAAATCATTGTATGGAATCTTTTTATTTGAGGAGATGTCTTCACGAATTTTGGCATTGATTATTCTCTAAGGCAACGGTACAATTTTCGAAGAAATTGTTTAGATTGGAACAATTATAGCATATAGCTGCCATACAAATTGACCGATCAAAATTAAGTTCTTATATGGAGCCTTTTGTATTTGTGAAGAGTTTTTTCTTGTTTTATTAATTTATTTTAATTTTAGTTGTTTAAACTTAAATCTCGTTTCAATATGAGTAATTACTATGTTATATATTTTTCCTGCTACTGTAAAAGTTATGAAATGTGCTTTTACATTATTTTGCATTTTAGGTGTTGATATAGTATATACATTTGCATATAAGTATGTATATACACACATACATATATGTAGATCTATTACACAAATTGGGCTCCTACCTTCTTTGCTAATCGCTAATGATCCACATCCGATGTATCATTCGTCACGCTCAGTTTCCTACAAATCTTATTAAAGTGCCAACAAATTGGTCACTAATCTTCACCAACCGCGCCAAAGTCATCAGCAGTCGTGGAAAGCAACAAATATGTGTGTTATGTATGTATGCATGTATACAGTATTAGGTTGTGTCATGAAAATCAAATCAAACATAAAAATTCAGATGCACGATATTTTTTGCTACATCTTTCTGATTAGCGTTGCCATATATTTATAATTATTTCTTAAAGAAATTCTCTATTCGTAAACATTGTTGAGAAACATTACCTGTTATGATATAAAATTAAATGTACTTCAAATTTTGGATTTCCCTGATCCCGTAGCCGATGAGCAATATTTTCAGTTTTTTAAATTATGTATCTAAACCAAGCCAAAAAATATGCACTATTATTACTATTGATAATTACAGGTAATGCATAAACTGGTCGTCAAAATTTTGATTTTTGACATAAAGTGCCCTTATTCCCAAAAAAATTTTTGTGCAAAAATCACTGAAGTGTGAAATGTGTGTCTTAAAAGTCGAAATTATTATCAAAATTCTCATTTCTTCTATAATTAGCTGACACATATAATTAAGATGTCGAGTGAAGTCGATCGAACCAGCCGTTTCGAAGAAATTTACTCCCCGACTCTGAAAGCTGGTTTCGATCAAACCGCGTTTAAGATTTGGAGCCGACAACACAAATTAAAAAATTCTTTCAAATAAGCTTATATCTCTGAAACTATTTGCCGGATCTATTCCAAATTTCATAGATTATTCTCAAATCATTTTTTAATAACCTAGTGGATATAACCCTTAATTAGTTTAATTTGCATTTATCCAGACTATGAATAAGCTTGTGCCTCTTTTACGCAACCGCTGCCAAATCGGTTCCTATTGGCTTAACGTCATTTTTATTAACGTTGCTCTCCATTTAAAATTATTTGTATGATCATTTTAAAGACAAATAACCCCTATTTAAGCATAACATTAATGAGAGGGCTAAGCGAGTCCCTGCCATATGCGGAGCACTCGATTAAAATTCCAGCTCCATTTTTTCAAAAAGTTATAAAACCATTTATTCATGCCGAGGAATGTTGAATTTTTGAGTGCATTTCTGACATCCCATAACAATCTATCGCTTATTCCAAGACTTCTATCAATTATGAAGCTCTATAGAATATTTTGCTGGTATTTTTTAGAAATATAACTAAAAGAGTAAAACGATTTATTTCTAAACAGCTGCTAATACGAAATAATAGGTAGATGAAATAAAGAAAACCAGCTTTTAATGTTTGTGTGGTATTTTTTTTTGCATTTTCTGAAACAATTTACAACAGTAATGTATGTATATATTTTTTATATCGTCAAAAGTAGAAATATCAACAAACATAAAGCCTACTGACTTTTGTAAAAAAAAATCTGATATTTTGTCGTGAGAATTTTCGATTGAAAATTAGGGTTTTCTTCGATTTTAAGTCGAAATAAGGTTTCCTTTTTAATATTTTAAATAAAAATCGGTGTGTTTCGGACATAAGAAGTTTACAACACATTTCGTGAATTTGAACCCAAAAACTGGGTTATTTGAATTTTTCACACAAATTTTGAGATTTTGTGAAAAAGGTGTTAATACAAAAGTTGTTGATCTTTTCATTACCTACAAAGTTGCCACATATGTATATATTTTTTTTATATACGACACGAACTTAGTTAATCGAGTTAAATCAGTGTTTACCCTTAAAAAGTCAACCACGCCCCTCCTCTTCCTCTTTCCAACCTAAAATCGCCCGTAAATTATTTTTCATTTAATTTTTGATATTTTATCTTTCGTTTTCAATAGGTGTCATGCTATAATGATTTTTTTTTTGCCTTCAATTATCTACTCTGGTCTGTACAAAAAAATATAGTTTATAGAAAACTGAATTATCCTAATACGCGTAACTAATAAAAATATACATATGTATATACATACAGATATATATACATATTTACATATGTGTATATGTATATACACTGCATTTACGTACATATTTATAGCGTAATCACTCGCTAATGGAAGGCGTGTTCTACGCCGCCGCAGCATACGTGGACATTTTATTATAACGCGTCTCAAGCAGAAAGCAATTACGGAGTGGAGGCAAAATGAAAACACAATACAACCAGCAACAACAACAGCGAGCTCGTTAGAACTCAGGAGAGACAAGCGTACCAACAGCGACGAGCGCCGATTATAGGCAATTAGCTAACTCTCTAGCCCTGTATAAACACGCACATTCGTACAAATAACTAAAAAATTATAGGCATGTGTGTGCGTGTGTTTGTACTCGCATTTGCGACAGCAACCAATACCGATTGGTGATCACTTGCTTAGCTCTCTCTATTAGTCTCGCTCATTGGTATACGCCATATTGGATTTGATGTGCCGTTAGGCGGAGCTTCTACTTGTTGGTGGTTTGTGTTGCGCGCCATGCAATGAAGGCGCGAAAACAGTGGGACCAGCGTGATAGTGGTAATCTCTCGCACCAACAACCCCCGCTGAGCACAGCAGAGTTAATGAACGCAGCCAACCAAAAGTCTCCTCGTTTCGGGTACGTAATGTGTCTGCGTGGCCAGAGATAGCGTCGTTTATTTATTGTCGTGTCTGCTTGCTTTTGGGCCCTTGCCAGTGTGTCAGCGCTGGGAACAGTCGTCAATGTTGAGCGACAGTTAGTTTGCTGTCGACTTTTCAACGGTTCAGTGCTTCGGGTTTTGCGGAGTAGCTGGTAATTTAATTGGGATTGCGTGTATACTCAAGTGTATTGCAATAGATTTATCAAAAAATATTAGATTTTACCGGAGAATTGTAAAATGGAGTGAAAAGCCGTTATACATATGCAGATATATATGTTAAATACGCATAACAATAGTGAAAAGAAAATTGGATTGTGCCAAAGTGTTTATTGTGTTAGAAAAAAAAAAACAAAAAAAAAAACTAAATAATAAAAAAAAAAAATAACTGTAAATAAATCTCTATCGCCTTAATTAAAATTGTCACTCTCCAGCATGGAGGGTACTCGGCCCCTGGCTACGGAAACCGCTAGCAAGCTAACCAAATTTTCAACACCTTTTTCTATCGAGAGTCTGATCGCCAATCATCAACAGCAACAGCAGCAACAACAACAACAAGAGTTCGAAAGAAGCACACAAATATTAGCGTCTACCAATAATCGGGAGCAGGACGAGCTGAATGCGCGCGCTTTAGTCGCCACATCAGCCTTAGGCCTCGCCAATTTTCCCTTCTACAACCCCTGGCTACACGGCTACTTCGCACAAAATCATGATCGGCTGACGCAGTTGATCTCCAGCGGTTGCCACCTGACCAACTTTGCCAAAGCCGAGCAGGGAATAAGCTCAGCGCCTCCACCGCTACCGCAACAATTAGCGTCGAAAAACGCAACCACGTTGCCACCTGCCCTTCCGCATGCGTTGCCACCGGGTGCTAATTTCACGGGCAACAGTGATCATGCACGTTCACTGCCGTCGGTGTCTGCACATGCGTTGGAGCCACAATTGGCAACGCGTTTTCTCTTTAATCCGTCGGATGCGAATTACCGCGATAAATTATTTCTAAGTAGTTTCAACGGTGGCCTGGTTAGTGGTGAGCATGCTCCACCAACAAATGTGGCGCCAGCGAGTCTTGCCAATGATATCACCGGTGAACAGCAGCGTTCGAATATGGAATATGCTGGTGATGATTATGTGCACAATTTAACGGTACATACGCGCCTGCATAGTCCCCAGACGAGTAGAGCCAGCGCGGTGCCATGCGAACAAAATGCAAACGATATGAGCTTGATGGCTTCGTCCGCCTCAAGTTGTGCGAATACAAATAGTCGCGATTCGCTGAAATCTCACACGTCCGAAGCGCTCTTGGATGTGGGCATGGATGAGGATTTCGACTGCAGCGGTGATTCCTGTAGCGATATTAGTTTAACAATGTCACCGAAAAATTACAGCATTGATATGGATAAGAGCAGAGGTAATTACAAAATAGTCTGACCTTGAGCGTCATATATTATATAATATTTAAAGGAATAGTCCTCCAGTGTATTGAAATATAATAAAAAATGCTCAAAATAGTAATATAGTTGGGTGTAAATCGTGGAAGTAGCTGAATAAAGGCCGGGTGAGGAAGAAGTCGTGGTATGATCACGGTAGAGCTGAGCGATTGGATAGGAACAAACTTCACAAGCTCATTTCGATCAAGAGTGTATAGTAGAAAATGCAATAATTTGTAGAGCGTTATAAAAGCACAGCGTTGATTTTAGTAGTGATGAGATGGGACTATATTTATTTCTTCTCTGATTAGTAGTTATAGCATAGATTAAGGCTTAAGATTGCACTTCAATCTTGCGGCTGTTATAGTTGAAGTTGGCTAGGCAGTTTTTTGTTTGAAATTTTGTGAGTGTAGTTTAACATACATATGTATTTCGAAACCAACAGAGAAGTTAACAGTATTGGTAGACATTTTTGGTTCTTCTATTAATCTTCCAAAGACTCGTGTCACCTAAAACGAAAACTCTTAAAAATTATGGAAAATATTTTCCTAATCCTGAAATTAAACACTATTTGATGATGATGATTTTCATGAAGACCAGAAAATCTAAGAGAGTAACGAGAAACTGAAACTACTTACTCGTTTCAGTAAGAAACTTGTGTGATGAAAATGCTTTCGAAGTCTGTTGTGTAGGAAAAGACTGTGTTGCAAATAATACATTACCCTCAAATCTTATAGCACACACATGTCTCTCTATCATACGTCCAAACTAAACTTAGCGATTATAATATCAACAAGTAAAGAAGTTCTATGTTCGGGTGTAACCGAACATTTTATACTCTCGCAACTTGCAAGGATCAAAGCCCGGGAAATTACGCCCGGGAAGGTGTTGGCAAAATTTTATAGTAAAGAAAGTATGGAACTTAAAATGATGTTATATGGGAAATAGGCGTGGTTGTAATCCGATTTCGCCCATTTTCGACATATAACATAAAAATATGAGAAAACTGTCATGCACCGAATTTAGTGGAAATCGGTTAAGCAGATCCCAAGATATGGGTTTTCACCTAAAAGTGGGCGGTGCCACGCCTACGGTCTAATCTTGAACGCGGTTCCTATAAAGTCATCTCATACCATCCCAGAGAAAAAATTTAAGGTCTCTGACGTGTTTAGAGCTTGATATATCGCGCTTTTAGTAGTTCTTAACAGTACCGTTATACGGGGAGTAGGCAGGGTTGTCACCCGATTACACCCATTTTCACGCTGTCGATAGAGGTGCTCAAAACATATGTTCTCAGTGAATTGTTATTATAGCTTTAGCGGTTTAAGAGATATGCATATTAACCCTATTAGAGGGCTAGACCACGCCCACTTTTTAAAAAATTTTAAACTGCAGATGCCCTTCCCTAATGTGATCCTGTATACGAAATAACAGTCTTGTATCTTATTGTGGAGCATAATTATGGCAATTTATTTGTTTTTGATTAATGGCGTTTTGTGGGCATGGCAGTGGTCCAATTACGCCCATCTGCAATACCAACCGTCTTACGGTACCAAGAAACATGTGTACCAAGTTTCATAAAGATATCTCAATTTTTACTCATCATCATAACCAGCGTGATGAGCTAAGTCGTCACGTCCATCCGTTCGTCTGCCTGTATATACGCAGTATTAGTCCTTCAGTTTTTGAGATATCGACCTGGAATTTCGAACACGTCCTTTTCCTTTGGGATTTAAACTTTCGAGAAATAAATTGCGTTAAGTACCGAAAACCTGAGCTTATTATAACCACTAATTACGATGTAAACTTTAACCTTTATATATATATATATGTATACTTATAATAGTTATGGCAGTCTATTGTTGCCACTTGTCCATAGAAATCACAATTATAAACGAGTAAGTTTTCAGTTCCGGCTTTCAACGCAATTAGTTGGCTGTGCACCATTTCTGAACGATTTGTTGCACGCTTCATGCATGCACATATACATACACATATGTAGTACATATGTATGTACATCTATACACCTCCTTAATTCGCCACTTGACACTCGCTTTGCTCATTTGCATTTACGCCAAGAACAGCTTGACTAGAAATGGTTATGGCTAATTAATATGAGAAAACACATTCGCACAAACAAATTTCCATTAGATTTTCCGCTCCGCAAACAATTATGATTATGCTCGGGCATTTGCATAAAAGCATTTAAGCTTCAATGTTAGGCGTCAATCAAAAACTTGCAACTCTTCTTTCAAACGGCCATAACAACAATAGAGAATAGCTTGAACGCATCGTGAGCGGCGTAGGACGCGGCAGCGAGTGGACTTTTCATATTTAACTGACACTTTGACATTTGCAACTCTGCGGAGTTGAGTGAGCGTGCAAAGGAAGAGAGCGCATTCGCTATTGTGTCATTTTCTATTTCAAAATTGTGCTGTCGTCAGTCAGAGTCACACACACACACACACTCATTGTTGTTGTTGTTGGTGGATTTTCATTTCATATTTCATTCTTTATCCTTGACAATGAAAGCATAAAACGCGATCTCTCGCTTCATCGCCAACTTTTTGGTAATAATTTTCAGTTTGTTGTGCGGCGTGGGGTAGAGTGTGAGTCCATTTATTGTTGTAATATATTCAAATGGAAGGCGTAACTAATCGCAAAGCAGTGGAAAAGTCATCAACATTAATATTTCATTTGGCAGAGCAATCATCATCATCATCACCGTTGTTTCGCAACTTTGAACGACTCTACTCCACTCCGCTGCCATTTGAAATATTAAATATTCATAATTTTACTTTGAGTGCTGTTGAAATTGTGCGCTGAATAGAGGGTAACATAGTAAATTTCTTAAATATATTGTAGAACTACATCTTATGTTAATGTTGCAGTAAAAATGGTTCCAAACTAGAGAACATAGTGGGAGGTGGTGTCTTCTCTGCAAAACTAGTTACCAAAATCGATTTTCGTCTACCAGACCACTGCAGTGTCTTCGAAGATCACAGCAATTAAAGAAAGCCTTCTTGTTCTGGAGTGTGTTCACAACATTATTTTTTTATACTCTTACAACATATTGCTACATAGTATAATAGTTTTGTTCACCTAACGGTTGTTTGGATCATTTAAAACTATTGGAGCTAGATATAGGGTTATATTATATATATATATATATATATATATAAATTATCAGAATGACGAGACGAGTTGAAATCCGGATGACTGTCCATACGCCTGCCCGTGCCAGCGATAACATGAGTAAAAATTGATGAAACTTGGTATACATATTCCCTGTCACCCAAGGGAGGTGCAGGAGGTATTGCAAATTGGCGGAATCGGACCATTGTCACGCCCACAAAACGCCACTAAACGAAAACTTTAAAGTGCCATAACTAAGCCGCAAATTAAGATGCAAAACTGTAATTAGGTACAGGAGATCGCTGTAGCAGGGACATCTGTGGGCTAAAGGTTTAATGTACATATTTTCCAAACCGCTTCAGATATATCAACGCTTAAGTGATTTTATAACCTCTTCAAACTTTGTGAAAACGGGTAAAATCGGATAATAACCACGCCTGCTCCCCATATAACGGCTATGTTAAAAACTACTAAAAGTTTTTGAACCTCCGGTAATATGTAAGAAATCTTAATGAAATTCCAAAATAATTTTTTCCTACAAACAGTGTATCCTCTTTCTTAAATGGAAAAAATCACGCCGATACTTTCCTTAGTTTTGCTAAAACCTGAAGGTGTTCCTCCGCTTTTGTTCCTTGCAAGTTGCAAGAATATGAAATCAGTTATACACCCCATAAACACTCCATCGCTAAAGATAACCTCGAAACAGACATTTCGATATACATATATATGTATGTAGATCCTAACCCTTTAAAAACATGTATACACAATTATTGACCCAAACTCAAATATTTCACAGTTATTTTGCTTTCTTGAACTTTGTTGCGTTGACTTTGTGGTCGTCGCCACAGCTCGTTCGCTTCATAAATCAAAGAGCTGAGCAATTGTCTGCAGATACGCCGTCGCCACCCAAGCATACAAGTGTTAAGAAATATTATAAACTCGTGTTTGGAACGATTGACTTGGACAGTTGAGAATCACTACAACAACAACAAAAAGCTATAACTGCACACTCGTGTCATTCGATTATGACTTCATTTGCGGTGATTCTTAACATTCAATTTGTTAAACTCATTTAAGCCTTGAAAAAAATTACAACAACAACAAACGGTTCGTTGACAATTTCGTAGAACCAAATATTTAGCGCATTGTTTGTTGTGATTTCACGCTTAAGTGCAAGTGATTGTCGCAGAGCGTTTGCTTGTGCCGGGAAGGGGGCTGCTGGGTGTGGGGTTTGACTGTAGTTGTTGTGTTGTTGGTTGTCGGCAAGTGGGTGTCATATTTCAAACAGCCGCAGCGAATTCAACTGAAATTGATGCGGCGATCGACACAAAACAGTGTCACACACACACACACACGAACACGCACACATGTACAGCTGCTGACACTCGCCGCTTGGCGTTGAAGTTGTCTTTATTGCTGTCATAACGCTTGCCACAAGCTTTGACACACCCCATTAACCTTTCGCATTCAAGATGTTGCCTTTGCCGCTTTGGCGCGGTGGCGTAGCTGCCTTGTGCCGTTATCTTAAGCGGGTGTATGTGCATGTGTGTGTGTCTAGATGTGTGTGACTTTGCCCATAATTTTATTTAACAGGATATTATGGGCGGTGCAATCGTCCGGCTGTTTATGCGCATACGCATGCACACACAAAAAAATATATGTATGTGTGTGTCTTCGTGTCCGCTCTCGACAAGCTTCAATTGCAATTCTCTGTAGTAAAAGTCATTCATTTCTTTGTGACAGCACAGATTACTTAACTGCGCTTAATTTAATTCATATAAATATTTTTGGAATAATTTCGAGTTTGTGGAGTGGGTGCTTAAGAGCATTTCTAAGTTTTTAGTTAGTTGGGGGGGTGGACGTGATGTTTCCGTTTGAAAATTTGCATATTTACGCTTGCGGTTGACAATATATGCTGGCAGAGATAATTAAGAATTAGTGGGAGATAATAAGAAAGTTTGAAAGACGTCTTGTTATCATTTGAATATGCATACATACATACCATACCATATGTATGTATGTATGTATGTATGTATGTATGTATATACGTGGGCTGTCCGATACACATTACCCGGCGAAGGTCCAACTTATTTAACTCCCCGAAAAAAAATTTTCTGCCAGTCTGCAAAATAGACCTCAGGCGGAAATAAACTCGGCTCAAACTTCTGCCCGCCGAGCGATTATTTTAAGTTGGGATACTAAAAGAAGTCCTGGAGGGCTAATTACAGAAAGTATGGTATACAGGGTTAGTAGACTAATTAGACGTTAGAGACTTTCAACATCTGCACGAAAGGATCAAAAATGGCTGATGGACAAAGCGCCGGCATCTATTGCTAGATCTTTGGTTCTTCCATACAGAAGTCATTGCAGTCAGGAAAGCTGCTGAGATAGCTAATAACGCAGGAAACGACATAAAGCACATCAATATATGCGTCGTTAGCCAAGCGGCAATTGAAGAAATAATCTCACATCGCATTGCGGCAGAGAATGTTCTTGGAAGCAGGGAGGAAGTAGTTATAGTGGCTACATATATATACTGGGTTCCAGTCCATAAGAGCGTTCCGGGAAACAAAATAGCTTATGAGATTACCAAAAGTGCCCTCCACTTGACTACCGAACCGGTTCAAGAAATACGCTAGTCGAAAAAAAGGATACACAATGCAATTTCCGAATAGGTCTACAGACAGATCAGGGTGAGATGTAATTCCTTAGGGACATGCAGGATCCTCAAGAGCGGCACGAAAACACGCAAACTTTCTACTCACACGGTCTCGATAAGACTGCCGGACGGTTGTTGGCCCAATGACAGGTCACAACATCTTGGCATCACATGCGTGCCATATGAGCATTATTAACGATGACAGATGTAGAAAGTGCTGTGAAGTAGGCATGAGAGAGACGCTGGAACACCTCCTTTGCTTCAGTCCGGCCTAATCTAGAACTCGGCTTAGATTCTAGGAGCATGGAATGGATAAAGTATCAGAATTAGATACAAAGTTTCTAATAAACTTGACGTCCTACACGACGTAAAATTCAGCTCGTATTAAAATGAGCCTCCATCTGGCAAAACAAAGCACTTGTCTATGTTTGGCGTGACAGCCAGCCGGTATAACCAAACCTAACCAACATAATTAGACCAATTTGCCTGTGTCGATGACAGAGGTGTGAAACGATACGTGGTCAACTATGGAACAGCACTTTTTTCTTCGCCAAATTGCATTGTTTTTGCAATTCGACATCATAGTTCGACATAGTAGAGCTTTGTGACTGTTTTGCATTTTTTCAAATAGTCGTTGTTGATCACACCTTGGGTACACCAAAAAATGGTGGTTATCAACTTTCTGGTCAAGACAGTCCTCGCCTTCATCGGAACGGCTCCATCGGGTGAAATCCAAGGTTGCTGTTCCTTGGATCCACGAAGCGACGCAAAAACTCGTACGGAAAGCACTTAAACATCTTCACAAATAGAATTGACGTGGTGTCATGGTTGTTCGTAGTTAGTGCGGACAAGTTTCTAATACCCAATATTTATTATATTATTACTAAGTACTAATGGATCGTCCACGTAAAATTTGTGTGTCTTTTTGGAACAGCCTTTTTCCTAACCTCTTCACTAGGAATCATATTACACATTTTTGATTCGTTAATCTTTCAATTTGTGTATAATCTTTGGTTGTGTATATTAATTTGTATTACGGTTCCCCGAATTCTACGCGGACTTTTAACGAGTAACTGCAAAATTTGTCGTTGTTTGTTATAGGTCTATGGCGAGATAGCCGTAAGCCTATTTTTCGAAACTTATTTTTCTTCTCATCTTGAGCTATTATGTTATCGTATGTTGGTAAAAGCTTATTCCCACAGAATTGAATTTAAATTCGTTTTCTCACTACGAATTTCAGTTATATTGATTTTTTTTTTATAAATTTCAGGCTATACACACTCTGACAGTGAAGACTGTTCCGATGATGAAGGGACGAGCGGACAAAACGACTCAAATAAGGACTCCTCCAGTAATTGTGGAGGAAGTAGCTCGAAATCGCGGCGAAGACGTACAGCTTTCACCTCCGAACAATTATTAGAGCTAGAAAGAGAATTTCATGCGAAGAAATATCTAAGTTTAACGGAGCGGAGTCAAATAGCGACGACTCTTAAACTCAGTGAAGTGCAGGTAAAGACTTGTTTGTAAGCAAAATGTGATTTTAGAAATAAAATCAAAAAAATAGAAAAATATAAAGGTTATATATTTTCTTAGATTGATTTTCAACTCCTTTACATATGATTTTATAAAATATGTAACTTTAAGCAGTAAAAAATCGATCCTTAATAACAGATTTTATATATAATAAAATCTTTATCCTAATCTCCCTCTCTCCTTACACATTGACAGGTGAAAATCTGGTTTCAAAATCGACGCGCCAAATGGAAGCGCGTCAAAGCCGGTCTCACATCGCATGGCCTCGGCCGTGGTGCTGGTGGTGGCACCAAAATAGTCGTACCCATACCCGTGCATGTGAATCGCTTTGCGGTGCGTTCACAACACCAACAACTGGAGAAAATGTGCCTGAGTGGTCCAAAACCGGATCTGCGCAAGAAAATGCCCACCGAACTGAGCGGCTTTGAGAAATTCAATGCCGCCAATGGCGTGGTCGCGGGCCTGAGCAATGGCAGCGCTGCTAGTGTGCTCAGCGCGGCGGCGACGCCAGCAGCATTAATGGCGGCAGCGAATATGGCCGCGGCGACGAACACGGTGACGGGCACTTTGGCCTTGGCGAGGAGTATTTATTGATTGGTCGCCGTATTTATTCGCTCGTAATTTAAGACTTTCAAAAGTTTCATGTTTGTTTTGAGATTATAAGTTAATTAAGTGATTAATTTAACATAAATTTATTTGTTTTTGATTTTTCAATTAAAGCCTAGTTTACTTGAAATACTAAGAGAATGTAAATGAAAATGAAACACTTTAAATAATAAGAAAAATTTTAAAAAATTAAAATATATTTTTATTCATTGCGGTTTCCATGCTTATCATAAAAAAGGGGCGTTTGATAATATTGACAATATACTAACAGAGAGAATTTTTGCGTTGCTTCTCTTGGAAAATATTATATAAATATATTTCTTACATAAACTGTAAGTCGAGTGCTGAAATTTCCTCAGCTCGTTTCATAAGTCAGTATGCTGAATCAAATCTGGGTGTAGTAAAATCCATTCTGGACTTACACTATATGTATATCTCCCTAATCAGCTCAAGTAGATTCATCTGGGTGCTCCTGATAAATCTTTAAAATTTCTCCGGATTAGTTTCTTCTTCTTCTGTGGCCCAAAATATTCACTAAACTGCAACTTTTCAGCAATGTATTACTTCTTGATGAACTTCTATGTTCGTGGAACATCTTGTAAATACAAGTTTTTTCCGATTCATTTCTTTTTCTCCTGCTTCTTCCGTAGTTCACTTTCCTTCTTTTGCTCCCTCTTTCTTTTTTTTGAAAACAGCTCTGTTCTCTGTTTTAATATTCCAAACCAACCTAAGCTCGACCAAATATCTACAAAAGTCACAGATCTCTCTCTAATGACATCTTTAGCACTGTTCCACGGTAGCACGGAAAATGAAGATCGTTATTTTTATAATCCCAAATCGATTTAGGAATAGATTGAGAAATATCGAATAATGTAAGTTAGTGAGTTACTTTTAACATTTTCAAGATAATGGCAAGGTCTTTTTCACATGAACGTCTTCAAACGTCAAGTGAAGTTTATCCGTGCATAAACATACTTGTAGACCAAGTAAAAAAATCCATTATCTTTCTAATATATGGCTGTAGTAATGTAAAGTAATCTCGCGTTGTATAAGTGCGATTGGATTACGAAATATAGCGTTAAATATATAAGATTTTGTACTAAATAATAATCTCACACAGTTTGTGATTGCTTTACTCAATATTATTTGAATACGCGTCAAAGATGGATACCAGCAAAGAGAAAAATATATCACAGTTATTCTTCGATAAAGGCGAAAACGCAAGCCAAACGGCTGAAAATGTGAATAGTTTATGGTCCTGAAACTGTAACAGCCAATCATGCCCAATTTGATATTTAAGGTGCATCATGCTATAAAAGGTCAATTGTTTAAAATATCGATAAAGTAATGGAAATGATCAAGTTCGATCATCATGTAAGCACTGTCTCGATTACCCAGAGCTAAACATTGCACAAATGACCGTGTGGAACCATTTAATTAAGGCTGAATACACAACGAAGCTCGACGTATAGGTTCCATGCGAGTTACCACAAACAAACTCTCGGACCGAATTTCCATCTGAGAAACGCTACTGAATCACAACAAAATCGATTAATTACTGAAGCGAATAGTTACTGCTGATAGGAAGTGGGTTACTTACTACGCTTCAAGCGTAAAGGGTCGTAGTCGAATAGCGCGGAGCCGGCGAAAAACGGTGGTCAAAACAGAATTGATGTTCAGAAAGAGTTTGGTGGGATATCCTGCGAATCTTCTACTATAAGCTGCTTCTATACAGCCAAGCTCCTAATTCGGACAATTGTACAGTCTGAAGTACGCAACCGCCCAGAAACGGCCAGCTTTAACCAATAGGAGAGCAATTGTGTTCCTTCAGCACAACGTGAACACACACATATCGATAATGACTCGTCAGAAGCTCCGGGAACTTGATTGAGAGCATGTTAGGCATCCAATTTATAGTCCGAACGTGACACCAAGTGATTACTGTCTGTTCCTGTCTATGGCGAATAATTTTGCTAATGAAAAATTCGCCTCAAGAGAAACTTGGTTAATTGAATGTCCCAATATTTTGTCTTAGGGATGAGGGTTTTTATGAAAGTCGCATTATGAAATTACCTTCAAAATGCCAAAAAGTTGTCGAACAAATAATAGTGCATATTTGGATTTTTTTTTACTAGACCTTATGTTTATAAAAAATGTTTGATATTGAACGGCAACAAGGTTCAATTTCACGAGCTGTAACTAATACAGAAATGAGGTTATGGCTAAAGGAACTGGTTAGATAGGGTTTAAGCATTTTGATATAATTATATAAACTGAAGAAAAAATGTTTTATTCGAAAAATTATTGACTCAACACACTGAGTCGCTAAGTAACGATGAGGAAGCTCGTTACCAGAAATATAAGTTAACATTTTCCAAATCTATAATTGACCCAAATATTAACATCAATTAATAAGCCACTTTATCAAATTTATCACGCACAACAATTGAGCGCAACTGGCCGATAATCGGGGATTTCAAGTGTAAGTACAATACAACCTAAAACCAAGTTCTGCAGTTAGTGCGTGTGATTAAGTGAACGGGAAAGGAAAGGTGGAAAGTGAGAGCAGAAAAGTCAACTGTCAATTTCACACATCGCAAGTCCGTGACGAATAGTGCAATTTAACGCACCAAATTGTAACAATTCACAATTTCAAGAGCCTGAAGAACCGAAAAACAACGCAAATGCAACGGTACTAATGTAAGCGAGGCAACGCAGTGGCAGCCGAAGTGGTTGGCAAATATGTATGTGTATGCATATGAGAATAACGGTGACACGAAGCAACGTTTGCCTTAATCGAAGGCAATTTGTGTGACAGTTTGTGTTTATATACATACGTACATATGTACACACAGTTATATCGTATGTGGCATATGATTTAGGCGCTCATTTACAGCATCAGCATGAGCATCGGCAAACAATCACTCCAGGTGTCTCACGTGTCACGCCCCAAAACGGCACTAACTGCCAGGCGGCTCAGCCAGTTGCCAGCCGATTAATAGGGTGCGCTGCAGCGTCAACGACGAAAAGGGGGCGATTTCCTGTACACGCACACACAGTCATACGCACGCAAAGTGATTTGAAAGGAATCTACAGCAGCTAACGGTGGCTTAAGAGCGATTGAGGTTGACTTATTAGCTGCGTAATGAATTGTGTGTTGAGCAAGCTGAGCGCACACGCAGAAACATACACACGCAAATACACACACACATACACACTTTATATACATTTACACACACAACATGTATTGAAATTTTCAGTTGTGCTGCAAGCCAAGCCAATGTCCAAGCGCTGGCTGCTCTGCCTACGGTGCTGCCGCTCTAGCGGCGCATTGTTGTTGTGTAGCAAATTATAAGCAAAGTGTCGTTTAAATGCGGCAAATTGCCTTTTGTTATGTGTGATTTCTTTGCTACTTTCAAACCGCTTTTCATTTGAGCATACAATTTTATAATTGTTGTTTTCATTGTTGTCGTCGACTGCAAAGTGAACAGCATTTTTACCATGCCATTTGTAGGTCTGCCGACAAATTTGGCGTCAATCGTCAAACAACCCCCGGCAGCTATTGCTACTGCTATTTACGGCTGCTGTGTTGTTGTTGTTGTTCACTTAGTGTCACGCACCGAGCTGTTTTATGTTGTGACACGCCTCCGAAAGCGCGTACATTTGCACTACATTTAAATAAATTGTATAGAATTGCATAAATTGCTTTGCTGTGTTGTTGTTGCTGTATATTTGCTTGTTTGTGCGACAATCCAGTTGCTCTTTACCAGCAGCAGCTTAATGCAACACTTTGTTAATTTATTTCATTTAATGATTTTCTTTCTATTTTTTAATTTTTATTTTTTTACCATTTGTGGCTTTAAATGCTGAACAGTGTGCGAAAAAATATATTTTAGTACAGAAAATTGTTGGTACAGAGTGTATTATAGCTGCGGCTAATTTCGTTGGTATCGTACGAGTTCGGCTTTAGTGCGTCGAACGGATATTATTATTATTTTTTTTTTTTGATCGAATTGGATTTTGTGATGTCCTTGGAAGTATCTAGCTGAGGTCGTTTTAGTCTTTTTCTTTATCCTTATCCCGAACTAGTACGAAGAACTATAAAATTGATTAATTAACTATGAGAAACCAACGTGAAAATCAAATGATTCTAACCCACTAACTGATTTTAAAAGTCCAACTTGAGCTCTTACGTCAGCTTTTCAAGGCCTTTCTGACAGTTTTTTGGTCCCCTCTTAAAACTGACTTGCTTAATAATCACCTTAAGACCGTTAATCGATAATAGAGAGCCAAAACGAGACGGATGATAATATAATTATCGAACTTGGTGTTTAGAGATGAATTACCAACTGATCAACTTTGACCCGGACTGGTCTGGATAAAACTTTTCCTAGGTTAATTTTTTAATGTTCGTGTGAAGTTTGATGTACAGGTACATTGCCATATCAATTAGTGTTGGTAAGGCAGCTGTTTGTTTACGAGGCAAATAACGGGTGGTCCAAGTAGAGGACTTTTTTCAATAGCCTTTTTTTGACAGATCATCCGTGCGTCGTGTTAAGCTGTCATATTATTTTTGTTCAGTATTGTTTGCCATTTCATCATGGAAAGACTTATGCCTGAACAACATTTACAAATCCTTCAACTTTATTACGAAAATTCTTGTTCCGTAAAGAATGTGTTTTGCTCCCTTCGCTCAACTTATGGTCAACATAAGCGGTCTACTGAACGTACTATTCGCAACACCATTACCCATCCTGAGACCCAGCATTCATTATTGGATAATATTCGACCGAACAGACAACGTCCAGTACGCAGTGAAAAAAATAAAAAAATATAGCGGCCGTAGCTGAGAGTCTACACGAAGACCGTGGAGAGTCGATTCGGCGCCGTTCGCAGCAACTCGGACTGACGTATGGAACGACTTACTTGTCCTTCCCAAGCGGCATCACTTTGCTCTATGGGCTCTTAAAAAGTTCCAAGAAGATCCGACGTTTCCGGGAGAAATTTTGTTCAACGATGAGGCCCATTTCTGCCTTAATGGGTAAGCAAAATTGCCGTATTTGGGACGAAGAGCTACCTGAAGAGATTCAAGAGCTGTAATTTCATCCAGAAAAAACAACAAAAAATAAGCGCTAAAGAATGCTCTTTCGAATGATAATAAACATACCCATTAAATTTTAATTTTCTGTGGTCTTTTCTTTAAAAAGGTAAGGAAGCTCGAAATGAATCACCCTATAGTACGTCTGGCGATTTTTACCACGGAAGAAATTTAAACAACGAGTTTTCCTGAAATTTTGTATTTTCAATAAATTAACGGCTACGGAAACGTTGAAAATGTTGCAGACATGTTTTCCGGAGTCTACTTAATCATGAACACAAGTATTTGAGTGATACAAAGAATTCAGTGAAGATCGTGAAGTCATCGAAAACTTGGCACATGCAAAACGTCCATCCAACGCTGGTAATGACCATAACATTGAAAAAGTCAAAGAAACAGTGCATGAAAATTGTCACGTTGGCTTTAGAGAGGTAGTAGATCTCAACATCTCATATGGATTGACTCTACACATTTTGATTCATGTTTTGGGTACTAAGCGTGTCAATGCAAGACTCGAACCAAAAGACATAAATCTTCTGCAAAATCAAAGTCGAGTAGAGATTGCAAAAGAGATGCTTGAAAACGTAGTTGAGTAAATTTAAATTCATCAAACGCATCAACACTGGTTACGAGACGTAGATTTATGAATATGACATCAAAATTGTCCAACAACGAATGGCGTACCAAAAATTAACTGAAACCGAACAAAACCAAAATGCGCTGAAGAGACTGAGAGTCATCCTAGACAAGGCTTGATACCAGAGTATAAAAAATTGGATTGAGCGTTGACATGGTTAGATTAGCTTAGCAGACAATTGTGAAGGCGATAATAAAGAGTTAGTTTAAAAAAAAAACGTGAAAATGTAGTTTTATTGTCAACCCGGGTGTAATTTGATCGGATGGTATAATACAGGTAGTCTATAAAGATCGCTATCAACTTCTGATGCTAAAAAATCGTTTATTATTGTTTGAAAGAGTTCACTGTACCAAATATATTTAAAAAAAACGACATCCCTTATGTATTAGATGCCATCACTGGCCACTTATCCCTGAGATCTCACACTCAAAACTAGGTAAGAAACACAGTAATCTCATAGATCAGAGAAGTTGAATTTGCATAAGATGTGTTCAAGCATACGATTGACCAAGTGTGATGAAGCATGCTGCATATTCTATTAAAAGATCGACGTAGATGCATTTCAAGTATTGATTTTATTAGCAAAAATGGTCATGGTATGGTATGTATTACTTATTTCGCGATAAAATTACCCAGCTCTACACAAAACACTTTTTTGTTGCCTTGAGTTACGATAATTAATTACAAATTTTTATCAACCTTTTGACAGTTGGTCGGATATTGAAGCTTGGAAAAGTTTCATGTTGATAATCGAAAATTTCCTAGGTAACACTAAAGCACCAAATTATGAAGAAATTGTGAAAAATATGCTGACAATACAAGCAAATATGAGTGTCAAGTTAGAATAATAACGCAAATATCTGGATAAATGTTCGGATAATTTATAGTTCTATAGAAATTATAGTGAGGAATAGGGAGAGCGATTTCACAAGTGATGGGATCGTCACGTGATTACAGATTCCTTGAAAAAAAAGATTCAAATTATCTGCTAACTTCGATGTGATTATTTTCCAAAACAAAGCTGACATTATAAAAATAACAGCTATTATGTTTGATGTTTTTTGTTTGTTCAAATGAAAAATGAAAATGAAGGTTTAAAAATAAACGAGAGCAAATCTTATAAAGCCTTTAATATTTTTATGAATGGTGAGCACAAATAAATCCAATCCAGTAATCTTATATCAGTCTTTTGAGTTTTATAAGGGCTCTGAATAGTTTAGATTGGCAATAAGACCCAACAGCTGGAATAGTTTATTTCGAATTTTATTTTATTATTGTATCTAAAATTTTTACAAATATTACTATGTAACATATAAATATAGTATAAAATCTTTGGTATGAATTACAATATTATCAGAGATGTGAATCGCTGAAAAATCTCTCTACATTGCTAAAACGGAAGCAGATTCAGATTTCGTATGCTCTTTTTCTTTTGAAGGAATAAAATAGCACTAAAGAATTACTGAGCTCGTGGAAATGACAGATGAGTAATAGAAAAAGAGAAAAATATTAGCAATAATCGTATTTTTTTTTAAGTCATGAAGTTTTGGAATTTTTCAGTATACAGTTTATAATTTTTCAGTAAACTCAGTCTTATTTGTTCTAAAATGACCGTCCAGTATTCATTTTTTGTATACGAGATCTGAGATTAAGGAGTAAGGTTGGTTTTTGACAAACGTGACCTTCACTAAACCGCATTCTATTCAAGAACAAAGAAATTTTTGTATTCATTCGAAAATTGCAATAAAATTACCATCAATATTTGTTGTGATAATTCATTAAATGAGCCCACTGTGCATTAAATTTATGAACAGCTTTATTGCAGATTTGTTATTCCCCTTAAACTATTAGCATTTGTCTGTGATTCCTGCTAATGTATTACCTTGCTAGGTGGTAGATGTATGTCTATATGTATGTGTGTGTGTGTGTGCTTGTATCAATGTAAAAGTGAAGTATTTCAAGAATTATTTGTTCTTGTGGGAAATTAAAATGCGTTTATTCTTTAAAATGCAAATATGGCACATTTTCAATTGTTCAACTGCTTTGAGCTTATTGCCCTCGTTATCCGCCACCGTCGTGTGTACTCGTAAGTTTATCGTTTTACATTATTTTGCCATTAATTATGGCAGCATACGAGGCGATGTGGCAGCATTACCTACGGCGTGAGGAGCGCTCGTTAATGCCACATTATGTTGCACTTTTAATTTTGTGCGATACATTAACACTCCGCACAATAACAACAACACAAGAAAGTTTCGAAGGGGTGGCAGGAACCAGAGAATATATGTAACATATATGAATATGGAAGTGGAAGCAGTTAAAAAGAGTCACAGCGACGATTAACACCCTCCAGTCGGCGGCGTCGGCAGTCAACCGCGCATTTTGGCTCGTTAAAAAGCAGTTTCCGAATGAGCGACACAGTTGCAATAATAGATTTAGTGACATATAAACACACAGCGGAGGTGCCACATGTGAGTGTGCTGCTGTGCGCGACTCTGGACATATGCCCAAAATGTTGCAGCAAATCAACGCCTTTCACCTATCTTCTCTCAGTTGCTAGTTTTTAAAGTTTTTATTTTGATTTCAATTTTTTTTTAATTTTTTTTCACTTTTCAGCATTTCCTATCGTTCCGCACCAACCAAAGCAAACGCTATCAACAACAACAACAACAACAGCGTTAGTACCCTCAGTAGTGGCAATGGCAACAAAGTCACGTCAAATCGGTCGTCAGTGTTGACAGCGACCGCAGCATCGACGCATCGCAACGGTGGCATCGGCAACATAGTAATAAATCACAACAAATGCGAACTGTCATAATTTGTCATTGAGGCGTGGTAACGCCTTCCTTTTTGCTGCTGTCCCGTTCCCTATATTCAACTTTACTGCTTTCAAAAAGACTACACATCGATTACTCGTGCAAGGAACTTGATGTAGAAGGGTGTGTGGCGAGCAAATGTTGCAATATTTGTACTTATGTATGTTGCAAATATCAAAATACTTCCATACGCGAATGAATGAATGCGTAAACGGGTTTTCGGTAAGATAAGGGGCGCAGAGAGAAAACCGGGGTCCGGGGATGATTGTAGTGAATCATCTCATCATAGTTAAATAAAAAAACTGCAAAATATTGTTGCAGCTCACCGGGCCCCCTTGAGAACTACGGGCCCGGGAGGAATTGGTGCTGTCCTCCCTTTCCTTCAATGGGTAAGATCGCGTCGAAATTGTTTAGTTCAAAGCGATTGTGGAGCAAAGATTGTAGTTTTATAACAAGTTCACACATGCCAGCAGATATGTGTGGATCCAAGTGGTCGAATATCTATACGGCTGGTGTGACTCTCGAGAAGCTCCAATCTTTATTACGAAACCTTCGAAAGTAAAAGAAAGATACTGATATCAATTTTATATTAGTTTTGCCAAGCTGAAAATTTGACAGGTTCCTGGTAACATATCTGCATGGAAGATAAATACGCACGCTGCTGAAAAAATTCCGTGGTCCTGGAATTCCAACAGGCAACACCAGTAGCAGAAGAAATTCCTGCCATGGAGAGCTGTGTTTATTTCGCGAGCTTCAGTCGGTAGCCGGGGTCCTATTTTCTGTTTTCCAGTTTGCATCCGCTGATTCAGGTATAGTTGATTCAGGGCAGAAGTATATTTGGCTTTCTGAAGGCATTCAATTTGTCATCAGTTTTTTTTTTTTGGTTTTGGTCTCGTTTGTTGTTTTTATTACATACATTATTCGTATTTGAAGGGACCCCGGTTCAAGTCGCTATTTCCGCTCGATCGTACAGTTGCATTCCCGGTCTCTATGGTTAACATCATTAGTCAGGATAAAATAAAATAGCTGAGCCTGTACCGCCAACCTTAAGGTGATGTAGCATTGAAAACACTTGAAAGTCTGCCAAAGTTTTAACGGGACGGAGACGCCTGTGACATTACCCTGAAAGCCATTTCTGCAAGATGTAACTTTTGCATACTGCGCAGCCGTCAGTCCAAGTTCAACTCTTCCAAATCGTTTGTCAAAATCGTGCACGTACTTCGTTGATTGATTTCTTAATTTAGCATGTGTGCTGTGATCCTTGGTCGGTGTCTGTTTATTTCTTTTTCACAGCTCATCTATGTCTTGTAGGGCGTTCACTTTTCGTCATCTGTGACCCCGGCTTAGCTTAACAATTGGGGATTTTTGGTGTAACGGCTGCCGTTGGGTAGGTGTTCCCTCGAGTCAAGACCTTAGGGGTTGTGTATGCTTATTTTGAGGTGGCATCTATTCAAAAGGGAACCGAAGATTTATAGGATGTTTCAGGTCTTTTAAGCCGAACTTTCCTCTCTTCTCGCTCTTGGTCAGGCGCTACTTATTGGTATTCGCATCTAACCTAAGAACTTAGGTCATCAACAGTTCGCCAAGTTGTAGCCCTTGGTGGCCTGAGCTCAGCTAGTTTTATGTTTGGCACTGACGAAAATGTGGTTCACATAGTCAAGAAAGATAGTCCACAAATAGTGATTAAATGGGTTTAAAATTTGAACCTTAAACGATTTTTTTTGACCTAGTTTTCGAATAGAACAGCAATTGGAATTAGTAATCCTGGAGATGTTATTCGAAGACGTTATACTTTTTCTATCCAGACCTTTAAAGGGG